TAGGTATGTGGATGATATTTTTGCTGTTTTTGACACACATTCAGACACCATAGATAATTTTATTTCTAAGTTAAATAATCGTTTTCCTTCCATTAAATTTACACATGAAATTGAGAACAACGACAGATTACCATTTCTAGATGTATTAGTTATTATAAATACTAATAATTGTCTGGAATTTGATATCTATAGGAAAAATACCACTACACACGCAGATAAATTCCTAATGAATCATATCATAGTCGTGAACATTAAATGGGTAGTTTAAATTTCTTAGTTCATAGATTCCACTTTCCAACGAAAGATATGAAATAGAAAGAGCTTACATTAGGAATGTAGCTGAGCGTAATGGATATTCTCCTTCACTAGTTGATAAAATAATTAGAAAACGTAGGTATAGGTTAATGATTTCTGAAAATTCGACTTTTCAAGTGGAGAAAGATACGTCTAAATATTTTTCGATACCATTTGATAGAGAATTATCCCGTGGTCTAAAAGGAATTTTTAAGAATGTCAATTATAAACTTGTGAATAGTGCTAATAATAAATTACAACAATTATTAGGTAATCCAAAAGATAAAACACCTCCACTGGAAAGCTCGGGTATTTATGAAATTTCTTGTAAAGATTGTAATCAGAAATATGTTGGGCAAACTAGAAGATCAATATTAACTAGATTTAAAGAACATTTAGCTCAGATAAGATATGGTAGACCGGATAAATCTTGCGTTGTGGATTTATTATGATTTTATGACAACTTGGAGCCCTGTATATCGACAGTGCCTAAGATCTTTCGCACCGCTGGCCTTACATATACTTAAAAAATGATCGTAAATAAACAAATACAGAAGATTTAAGTTCCTGTTGATTCCTGTACTCGCGAGATCATGTTTTACATACATGAATGTTGTAGTAAAAATATCTAGCGGAGCAAAAGTATGCGGTTCGAAACCAGAAAAAGGTAAAACAAATGGATCTGCTGCTTCATGGAATATGGATTATTCCTGGAATAGATAACAAGCTGGTGTTAAAGTATTGGAATAGTTTTTCTGTCGCGCGTTTGCGATAAATTATTGTTTAAAACTACTTATTTAATTTTATTCAAGCACGTACACTGCTATAAATATAACCCGAAACGTATATTTTGCTGAAAACATTTTTATATCAAGATTCATTGTTTTTGTAAAGCTTTAGCTCCCAACAATATTTACGTTATATTACCCGATAAATTAAACAGTATAATTATTATTTTAATGTTTTTGCTTTTGTTTAATCGTTTCCGTGAGTTATACAACACGTTATAACTAATTAACTATTTAAATTTCATTTATATATCGAATGAACCGCCATAGATTTATTACATGGCATTAATCAACGTAAGGAATGAAAAATGCGTGAAGCAGGGAAAGATTCAAATTGTTACATGTATTTTAGATAAAATAACGGATAGATACAACCAGTCTGTTTCAAATCAATCTAAATTCATTATGATTATTTGTATATTTGTCTTTAATATTTTATAATGGCTATCATAAGTAACTGTTTTTTTTTTCTTTTTCTTTTATTTGACAAATGTAGCTTTAAATAGATACTCTTTCTTTATACCATTTATTTTTAGGAGTCTTTTTTTATTTTTATAGTCTTGGAAAGAAACATTTTTCCTTGAAAAGATCAGAAAAAACTTTTTTTAGGAATGATTTCATGTTTTACAAATAAGAATCTTGTAATAAAAAAAATACAATTTGGTCTGGAACTTTTTTGGCGTTACAACATAATGTTTTAATACAAAAAAAATATAGAAACTAAAACTGCAATAATATACAAGATGTCCAATTATAAAAAATAAATTTAACATTTTATTTATTTGTGATACGTCTCTGTGGTACCTTATGAAAGTAATTTTAAATCATAGCTATAGTAATTTAACAAGTCCAAGACCTATATTTTATAGAAATACAGTCTTCTGATAATATTATTATGCCAAAGAGCTTGAATAAACCTGTATCTTATTAAATATTTAAGCACTTTAAAAAATGGTAAACTTAAAACTAAAAATATAGAAGAAATTTTTAGTTAAATTTACATTACTGTTGCAACTTAAAACATTTCTTGAGACTTTAGAATTTATTTACAAAGAAAACTTTTATGTAGAAGTTTCAGTGTTTATTTTTATTAAAGATTTCACCATTTTACTCTTGAGTGAATTTATATTTTGAAGCTCCTCGTATACTAAATAAAATACATAAAATACTTTAATATCGCCTAGTTTATTCGATGTCTGACATAATATAGAAACGTTTTTTTGGCGTTACAACATACCCAATATTTTAATATAAAAAAATATAAATAAAAATTGGAATAATATACAAGGTGCCCAATTAAAATAAAATATATATTTATTTGGAATAATATACAAGGTGCCCAATTAAAATAAAATTTTATTTATTTGGGGTACGCCTCTGTACCTTATGAAAATCATTTTAAATTGTAGCTAGAGTCATTTAAGCATTCCAAGACCTATATTTTATAGAAATACAGTGTCCCTATAATATTCCATATCGAAGAACTAGAATTACCCTTTATTTTATTATAAATTAAATATGTATACACCTTAACAAATGTTTATCATCAGTTACGTAAATTTGTACCCCTGGAAAAAGCCACTGAGAAATTATCTCGTAAATACATCTGTTTTATTAAGTAATTTAAAACTACTAACTTTTATTTACATATACAGAGTGTAGAAGAATAAGTGGGAGGGGGGTTAATCTCTGCGACCTTAGAGATCTATTGTGTCCCCCTTTCTTGAGTTATAACTCATCATACAGTCCCAGGACTTCCTACGGAGACCCGTGTCCCTCACAGTCGAGGAACTACGACCCAGGCCGGGTAGACGAAACGGTAGCTTGTGTCGCCCGTTGGGTTTAGAGGTAGGAGGTAAGCTCACGACCCTTGGAGGAGGTGGTAGCTTGTATGCCACTTGCGGAGGATGGTCTCACGCAAGTGTCAGCCACCTCTCCTGTAGTTCTCTTTGGGTTTGGCCCCTTGCAACTTTCATTGTTACTGTTCCCAGTGTCTTGAGGCTGTCCGTAGCCCCGCCCGGTATCGTTATATGTCTTGGTGCAATTCCCTGGCCACGGCACTACAGTCAGGGCCAAGACGATGAGTGAGATGCTTCTTAGACCAAGCCAAGTGCTAGAGGGGATTCCCCCCAGCACCTGACCAGGAGCTTCCCCACCAACCACAAGGTCTTGCATCTCCTAGGGGAAGATACAGAGTGTAAGAAATAGTATACCAAAAGACTATAGCTCATCATACATGGAATTTTTTTGTTGTAGTGGGAACCATCCTCCTGTGACAGCAGATGTTCTTCCTCCAAGGAATGGACATTTATCTCCTACGAGTGTATACACACTTCCACGGCTGGGGTTTGGCGGTTTGGCCCTCCGTGACCTTCACGGAGGTTGGAGGATCTGTCTCCATTTTCTCCATCACTTAAATTTGATCTCTCCTTAGACCTAGATACCGGTGTTCTCTCGAATCTATAATAGAGATTATATCTCTCTTTGGATTTGAGGTCACTTCCTATTGTGAGGACCTGACCATGGCCCCACTCCCTCGAGTTGATGATTCGCCAACTCGATATCCTTACATTGGAGTTCTGACAAAGCTGGTGATGCGTCCCTCCTTGCCTCCCGGCGCGGCGTTGGACTGCTTTTCATCCTGGCTTTTTCTATCCTTGCCGGAGCAAAGGTGAGAGGTTCTCGCTCTCTCTCTTGCCCTTTAGTGGAGATGCGCCAGGCTATTTCTTGGTTCCTTTACTAAATACGTTTATCAAAATAATTAATAGTGTAATCACGTACCAGATAAGCTCTAAAAAATTCAAGATAAGATCCAAATGAGGGCTGTAAGAGGAGCTGTAAGAGAGCTGTAAAGGATGCAAAGCTTGTAAAGTGATGTAACTTCTTCAGGCAGCATCTTTTGGAGGCATATGTTTGGAACTTTTTTATCCCACTGAAGTTTGATACACTATTTTTTAACCCTGTATCACTGTTTTCTTTTAGTTACGATTAATTCTCGTAAGACTGGAATATGAAAACATGTTCTCTGAAGAAAGTAATTTCAAAAATGAGGCATATTGTATATAAAAAATATTTAAAGCACATTTTTAATTAGGTCTAGAATCCTTTAGTGCTGCATTCTTGTGCTTGCCTACCTGCTTATATTGATAGCATTAATTTATGCCGGAGCATGTTAAAGCAATTCGGCGCTTATTAGCTGTTAGTTGTTAGAATTAAGTGAGCAACGGCATCAGAAAATGATAAAAAGAACATCGCCTCGCCGAATTGATTAGCCTCATATAATCCCGGGGATGATCAAGAAGATTCGTTAGTTTTACAATGTAATTTTGTAAATTAGTAATAGACCTAGCAAATGAACAGAGCGTTATTAATAAAATTACGATTCACAGACGGGCATAGCGATCGCATTAATTCGTATTAGGAAATTTTGGCAACGCCTGGATAAAGTCTTTTTGATTCAGTAGCGTCTCGTACCGATAGAGGCAAAGTTTACAGAATTAAAAATAATTCTGTATATTAATAGGGTTTCCACATAAAATTTGTCAGCTCTGAAATCCGGACTTAAATTATAAATAATTTATTTAGTTACGTAAAGTTTGTTAAACGAGAGAATACCTAACAGGGAGAATAATAATTGTTGTCTTTCAATTTAATTCGCAGGAAAATTGTATTTTCTGTTATTGTTTGGAAGTCGTCTGACGATATTCTTCACTGACTTGTTGGACAGAGGGACAGACTTTAAAGAGGAAATTAAAGACAGTTGAATAAGTGTTAAGTATACTCTTTTGCTTTTGTGAGCAATACTAAAATTTATACTGCATACAAACTATATCATAATTCGATTATCCTTTTAATATTAGAAAAAAAATGAACATTTCATTAGTGTGTATAACTTTCGTTTTTGCACATTAAATGCTTAATTTTATTTGTTAAATTAAATACTGCTTGTTATATACCGTTATTTTTAGACCAATTTACCCATTACATAATAAAATAATAATAAATAATAATATAAATAATCTTTATTTCAGAATTGGTAGGTACAAAACGTAGCGCCTGCACAAACACAAAATGAAATGATCGTCAAAATTAAAACAAAAATTACGATATTCAAAACAATAACACTTGATTCTTAAATTATAAACAAGTAGTAAATTCTAAACAAGTAGTTCTTGTAACAATTTAAACACAACAGACTGTCCAATAAAATCCAATTTGAAAAAACTTACAGAAAAACTCTGAGTATGGTTCTAGATTAATTAACAGAAGTCGTTTTTTGAATTGAGTTTCACAAATAATATTTTTAATATCATTAGGTAGACTCTTTCACGCAGATGTACAAAAGTATATCCTGCAACAATTATATTTGTGTCATCCCCCAGCATAAGATACAATTTTTCCTTGTGATGCAGTTGTTATTACGTTTAGATCGTTAATAAAAATAGAAAAGAGGATAGGGCCAATTATACTTCCCTGTGCAATAACTGCTGAATTTTCTTTTATATCAGAAAAATAATATTTTCCCATCATGTCTTCCATTTAAGTATGACGTTAATAATTGTAATGCGTTACATCTTATACCATATAATTGGAGTTTCTTAATTAATAAAGTTCTATCCACACAGTCATATGCTTTGGATAAGTCTAAAAATAGACCTAGTGAAAGTTCGCCTCTTTCCATATTATTTATTATTTCTTTAGTGAGTTCAAAAACGGCTCAAAGTGTGGATTTTCCCTTCATGAAACCATGTTGATGTTCTGAAAACAGGTTGCAAGCATTCATAAAGTTTATAATTCTATTTGTCAAAGCTAGCTCAAAAATTTTTGAGAAACTTGGCAGTATACTTATTGGCCTGTAATTTTCAAGAGAAAGTAGTGCATTCTTTTTTATAGAGAGGTTTTATAAGAGCAATTTTAAGTTGAGATGGAAAAATTCCATATTTAAAAGAGTTTAGTTAGGTTGTTAGTCTCGGGGAATTTTTTCAAATTCCGGCCGGACAACCCAGGACACCTTAAAAACCGGGACATATCCAGGTCAATCCGTATGGAAACGTATATATTAATATTAACAGTGATATTAAAATGAGGGTCTAAAATAAACGAAATAAATCTGAACCAGGAGGTATAACTTCTAGATGAAACAAGGCTTGCTTTATTTTATTTCCATTAATATTTTGTTGAATTTTGAGCAATCCTTTCAGAGTCACCCTATATATATTATATCATCTTATAAATGTTTTATGGTTGGATGGCCAACTTTTATCGGGCTATTAAGATAGAAATCTTTTGATATACTACGTATCAAAAGGCAAAAGCCGGCTTTTTATCTTAAATGAAGTGACAAAGTGAAGAAAATACTGAAATTTAATGTAGCAGATAAGTAGAATGGTTATGGACTTATGGCTTTCCCAGTACATATTTTTAAAATTCGTTGTTGCTAAACGATTACAAATCCTTTCCTGGAGGAAATAGATTTTATATACAAAACATATAAAAAAATCAAGCCTGTTAACTGATAGTAATGATTTATAAAAAAACTGGTGTTTACAGATTAAAGAAAAAAAATTATGTAATCTCAGAAATATAAATAGAGGAAGATATTAGAAGCCTCAGTTAGCCTCAAAAAAGTAGCAGTAAATGGACAAAAAACTTAGAGTATTAACACAGTATTAATATCTTTCTATAATCATTTTATAAAAAAAATATAATAAATTTACAAACAATCCCGAAAAGCTCAGATTAAATGCTTATTTTTCTATAGCTTTGAAGTTTCTATTGGAAGAATATACATATTATGTCTGTATAGAACCATGGAAGAATATATTAATATCTGTCGCTATTATTTGAAAAACGAATATAAAAAAATTACATAGCCTCTGCAAATTTAAATTTTCAAAACAATGTACGTAATATTTTGAAAATATATTCAGTTTAAAAAATGTAAATAATAAGTAGTAAAAAAAGGATAACTCACTTTATAATTAATCCATTCCTGTGTTTGCCAAAACAGCTGTTAAAATTGTCTCCGATGGGCTGTGAAGTCTTCTGAGGGAATGACGAGTCCACACGTTTAGCAACAGCACAGTTATTTAGTCCAGGAAAGTTTTCACCAATGATTTTCTTGTAGAAACTTCACCTGAGAACGATATATCCCGAAATTTAATATCAGGGGAGAACAAAAACGTTACAATAAGGATATTAAAAGAGAAATATTTACATTTTGAATTAAACTGACACATTTTACAAGTATTTTGTAAACAGCACGTACAAAAGTATTTAAAAAGAGTGTAACATTTACTTAACCTCTACAATTTTGTGTATTTATAAACCAAAAAAAAATAAATAAATATTGAGATGTTTGTCTGTTACGTAACTACTAGAAAACATGGGCGTCTCTTACCAATTTTACTATATTCGATAATTGACTATTTTATAGAAATATGTTAATAATTAATACCTTTGTTAATACTTAAAATAACCATATGATTGAAAATAAAAAAAGGCAATCAAGTTTTACCATATTTATCCCTGAAGTTCTGACAGTGATCACTATAAACTGAATTATTTAAACTATTAATAAAAGCTAGAACTATATGTATGGTATAACTTTATAACCTAATATGAAACTATTTATATTTTTCGTATTGTAAGTTTAACACGTCAAAGAGGGTAAATAATTCATTATCAGCTGTAAAGAACTTTATCTTTCTAAGTAGATCTACCGCCATGTCTTTTTTATTCGATCACAGTGTATTACATAAATATATATTTTTTAATTTTTTACTGGTTTATATTAGGGCATAATTTGTCATTTGAAGCTAATGATTTATATATTTAAATAAATAACTTTTATTTATTGGCTTTTATATAAGTAACGGTAGAAGATGTACGATAAAAAAAACCGCGTCCAGAGGGCTTGGAAATGACTATCGATGACATTCTCCAAATAATTTTTCATACAAAATGACAACAATCTTCATTCCCACGCCATCTCTGACGCCGTTTTTTGCGATTGTATGGTACTTCGAAAATATCTATCAATAATATTAATACTATACTATATTATTATGTATATACAGCTGATTTTTTTTGCACTTGTTTTCCCAGGACTTTTGCGAGGAAAAAATGTGTTAAAACGTTTTTCAATTTTCCATGGCAAGAGCAAATTATATTTCAGATTAACGGTTGTACGCTGTATTATAAATTAATTTAAAATTAATTAACATCAAAGAAAAAAAAGTTCATCAAATTGGTCATAAAGTTGAAATTAAAATGAAGAGAATATCTTTTAAAAGGTAGATCAATTTAAAATATTACAATATTTTACGTAGTGCTTTTAATAACTTTCTAATTAAAAGTAATATAAATAAATATATAGTGATCGGGAATAATATTTTTTATTCCAATATCAGCTCCAAACACCCGTTTTAATAACTTACATCTATTAAAAAAAAAATGAAAATAGGTCACTTAAATCTAGATTTTTTATAGTGTCCTGTTTTAAAAATACTAGCATTTATAGAATTAATTTTAAGTACTTCTATAAGGTAACTCGACCGAAATGTTTCGAATCAATGGGCACTTACCCTAGAATCGGACAGGCAGAAATCTATATACGCTATTCAAAGATGCGTACAACTTATCTTAGATAGGAACTATCGGAAACTAGAAATAGCCATCTTATTTTTATCGTCAAGCAGCGTTAAAAGCGATCAACTCAGTAACCCTCTATTCGAAGTTGGTCAAAGTATGCCTAGAGCATCTGAGCAAATTAGACAATGAAAACAAAAGTTCCCCTACTCTAGGCGCCAGGTCACCAAGGGATAGAAGGTAATGAGAAAAAAAATGATCTAGCTAGAAAAGGAGCGAAAACTCCATTAACTGCATCAGAACTGTTCTGCTTCCGAAGTGGAAACCAATTAAAAGCAGAGAAAAACTTGAAAGGCTCCTTCCGTAACCTGGAATGGGAATTTCCAAGGGTCCAAGAAACTTGAAGAAAGTTCTCAGCCCGAGAAAAATTAAAGATTTTCCTTGATTTAAGTAAGAACAATTTTGGGATTGTTACGGGGTATTTAACAGCACACTGTGTCCTGCACGAATACCTTATTAGCTTGAAGCTCAAAAAAAACGGCGAATGCAGATTCTGTAGGGGCAGTGGGGAAACACCAGAACACCTCATCACTAAGTGCGCCGAGACGACAACCATTCGCACCCTAAACTTACGTACGGTACGACTGATATCGGAGATGGAGAACTATAAAACCGTCTAAGATACTGGCTTTTTTCAAAGCCCTGGGACTGTATGATGAGTTGTAACCCAAGAAAGTGTCGCAGTGATTAATCCCCCTCCCAATCATTCTACATTCTACATGGTAACTTGACGCCAATATTTTTTAGACTACTGTACCAAAATCAGTAAAATTAATATATTAATAAAGCTATTAACAAGAAAATTTTAAGTTACGAAAAAGTTGTTTCATTGTTCTTAATAGAAAGTAATTAGAAAACTTATCTCATTTTGATGTAATATTATATTAGCAAACTTTAAACAAATAATTACTGAAATTATTAAACGAGGGAAGTTTCTCCGCACAGTTGACATTAAGAAAGATAATACTCATGTAAATTATCGCTTTTCAAAAGACCTTTTATAATTCAGTAACCTTTCATATGCGAGACACAAAACCAAATGTACTTTGCGTACAGAAAAAAATCAAAGAAAATGTAAAAACAACAAAACGGAAAGCAACCCTGCTGAATTAAAAGCTACACATTTAGGTTTTGGATGTACAAGCCTTTTATGTCAGATGCTTTTGATGTTCGTCATGAAATTCATTGTTGTTTTCACATAATCCTCACACAATAAAGTGTGAGTGCATTAAATATTGTTTCTTTAATTAAATGTGTTTTACTTTGTTTTTATTTAGTTATTTTTAATTCCTGTTTAAAAAAATGTGATGAGTTTCTCAAAAAAAAGTCTTCCAGGTTATTTGTTTCTTTGAGGTTTCTGGAGATTGTGGTATTGTGAAAAGTAATATACAGGATGTAAACAATAGTGTACCAAAATTCCAGTGGGTGATATACTACAGAAAAAAATAAAATTAAATGTTCCTATAAACATAAATATATGCTTTAAGATGCTTCCTGGGGAACTTATAACCATTTTAAGGGATATGTCAATACAAGTGGTATTTCAATATACAGGGTATAGAAAGTATGAAAAGTGTATGGTTAGGTTGTAAGAAAACTAAGTATGAAAACTACAAATATAAAAAAATCACATATCTGAAAATTTAAATTTCCAAAAAAATGTATGTATATTTAAAAATTTCCAATATAAAGTAAGTAAATGTGTAGTCAAAAAAAGGAAAACTCACCTTACAATTAATCAATTCCTGTGTTTGCCAAACTGCTGCTAAAGTGGTCTCCGATGGGCTGTGAAGTCAACAGGAAATGATGAGTCCACACGTTTACCCAAAAGCACAGTTATTTAGTCCAGGAAAGTTTTCACCGTTGATTTTCTTGTAGAAACTTCACCTGAGAACGGTATATCACGAAATTTAATATCAGGGGAGAGCAAACGTCATAATAAGTATATTAGAACAGAAATATTTTAAATGAAAACACAGAAATAAGATTAAATGTTCCTATAAACATATATTTAAAATGCTTCCTGAGGAAGTTATAGCCATTTTAAGGGTTACAAGTTCAAAGGGAGAAAGTTTTTATACTAAGTATATTTTTCTATACTTATTTCAATATACAGAGTATAAAAAGTACCTAGTGTACCAAGACCTTAATCGGTCCAAATACCAATGTTTACATTAGTTCAGAAATTATTTGGAAAAAATCGAAATAAAAATGAATCTTCTACACCCCTACATCTCAGAAACGAACTATTTTGTGGGGACATATATTTTACTTATTTGAATAGTAGAATAAGATACCAAAATTTCCCGAATTCAATCCGGACCACCCTGTATAAGGGGGTGGTGATGTGTAATTGTTTGGAGAGTCGCCTCTTTTTTTGGTCGCCGTTTTTTGTCTTTGCTTATCCCGGAATTTAGCTGTTACAATCTGGCAACCGTAATACAAACAGAAGCTGTTAAAATGTAAATTATGATTATTTTACATGCGTGTTAAAATTAGAGCGCCCTGTATGAGTGATTTACCGCGGTAGGCGGAAGAATATCTTATAAATAATTCGTAGATATTCAGCGCATTACGAGCAGGAATAGGGTGCGCGTTTGTGTAAACTAAAATCCAATACGATAAAATTGTTATTTATGGGTCCGACATAGAGCATTCAAATTAGCTGGCTCAATCGTATAACTTAGGACTCTCTGTCCCACTGGCAACTGTTTTATGATCCTAATCAAACGGAAAAGTTATCACTAACGAGTATTGAACCGGCGAATTTTTATCTCTATCCAGGACTATAAAATGCAAAACGAACACGGTTTTACTTTTTTTGTTATTGCCTGAACGGCTCGGAAACTAAGAACGTAATAAATGTTAAGTACGGATTAATTATGGGATAATGTGAGGAAAATTTCAAATCCGTATTGCGTATTAGATTAAATTTATATTGCAAAACTTACTTTTATGTTTTACTAATAACTGATAATCCCGAAAACTATATTATGAATTTTCGGGTATTAAAACTTAATTATCTACCTCATTATATCTATATAGTCTATGAGGCAGTGAAGATTTTTCGTACTGATTTTTCAGAAGCATTTGCATTATTAATTAAAAAAATTAAGTTGTTTTTTTTTCAAATTTAGTTAAGTTCGTTTATGCTATTTGATTTGCACTTTAAGTTACCTATGTATTTTTCTTCGCTTGTGTTCGTGTTTGTGTGCATGTTAATTTTCTCATGACTTAATAAAATTGGATGTATTTTTCAGTCATAAAAAATCATTTTTTTATCGATTTTACTTTTTCTTGCTGATTGACGAATATCCCTGAATAAAAATTTGCTAGTATCGAAAGTACTGAGAAAACCCGGTTCCTTAAAAACGTAGTACCTACATACCTACAGAAGTTTCCGGTTCCGGAAACCCTAAAAACAACCTACACAAAAATAAAAAAACATATAAATTAATAAATAAATAAAACAAATTGATTTTGAGAAACAAGAAAATTTTTACATTTGTTTTCCTGAAGAAATTTCAAATAAGACGCTACGTTATTTGATAGTATGAATCGAAAATTTCTTTACCAAAAATATCTATTTTTATAAAGTGATATAAATATAGGGCTGCGATCATATATTTCTATTTCTCTCTGGGATATTATGTGTTTTATTTTTATAGTAGCGGGCTGCATATCCGAGGCATAAAAAGCTTTTTTGTCGTTTGTTTCCGATATCTGCTCTGTGGCTGGTTAATATTTCTTGTTGATAAAAACGTCGCTGAAAGTGAAGGTTAACAGCCATAAAAAAGGACCGAGGGTGGGTTTAGATTTCTCCTTAATTAATATCTCGATCTTTTTTCTCTCTGGTGAGCTATTTTTCTATCGGAAAACAGTTACCGAATGAGAAATAGACTAACACACATTTCTACTGTCTCTATATTTGTGATAACTTTGTTTTAGTTTATTTGTCTGGCAATATTACAGCTAAATAATCGAGAATTCTTTAGTTTAAAAAATATATAAACATTTAGTTATCGATTTTTTTAAATTAGACTATAAAAATATCCAACAAAATATTATAGGTACCGTCTGTTGCATAAATTATCAAAATCGAGTCTTTCGTCTAATCTCGATTGAGTGAAAACACTCAGTGCTTTTCACTCTGTGAATTGAAGATTCACTCAGTTCTGTAGAGTAGACATTTCACTCAATCGGGTGTGGACAGAAATTGAGAAAGTATTGAGTGAAATCTGAGTGAAATTTCACTCAATTTTTTTTACAGTGTAATATAATGTGAATAATATTTCCATTTAAAATATAATATGACTATCTGGTTACCACTATGAAAGAATACGTTGTTCACTTCTCAAAATTTACTGTTATATACCCAGTGACCTTTTGGCTATTTGCCAACACTCGAAAATTATGATGGATATTTATAGGCTGTTTTATATGGATGGGAATATAATTTCCCTTGTTTTTATTTAATAATTTTCCTTGTTTACCGATATTAAATCAACTCTTGAAGGTCTGTCGTGTTATTTATTATTAATAAATGATTGAAAGGGTTAAAAACTGAGGCTTCGATGAGTAACAAAAATAAAAATAAAAATGTTAGAAAATAAAATCTTATTAGAGTATAGACATAGTAAATCTACATTATATATGAGACACCGGTCTTAATATTTACAACTACTTACTTACTGCCATTACTCACTGACGAGTATTTGACACGCATCAGAAGATAGTTACGCAAGGTGTTTTCTTTCATGAGCTTTTCTGTGATTGAAAAACCCGATGCGTGATGTTATCTCTCTTCAGGGCATTCAAAAATCTCATTACTTTGTTGTCTCTTTACTTTTTGGTTGTCGTTGTTAACTGAGTAAAACTCAAAAACTGGAAAAAAAATTGTCTTTTAATTTCCTGAATGCTCTTGAAGCGCTGTTAATTCCGTGCTGAATTGGAGTGCACAAAACAATATATAATACAATTTAAAAAAAATTATGAATAAAGTAGCAGTACAAAATCATTAATATATTTACTATATTTTTCTTTGTACAACATTATATAATTAAATAAGAGCAACGACAGCATGTTTATCTCGTTACAACCAAATCTATATTTGACGGGCCTCATATATTAGTGATTCGTTATTTCATCAGCGAAACAATTTAATTCGGTATAGTATTGTGCGTTGAAATTAAAATAAGCTTTCATTCAGTCTAAACAGAACATTTACCACATATTTGGAATTGATAAAACTGTCAAAATGGAACAGGCAAAATTTTCTCCTAAATCTTATTAATTATGTTAATTTGCGCATTATCTACGTGTCCATTGATTATATTAGTCTAATTTTGGTAAAAGTGACGCAGAGAGTTTTTGGTAAAACCGAATAATTTTAAAATCTAATTCAGCTCAAATAAAGTTAGCATATAATATTCGAATAAAAAAAATATTCACTGAGTTTATTCGAAGTCACTGTATATAAGTAACAATAAAGTAATACTAAATGACGGCAAATTGATGACTGACAGATCGGTAGAAACAATGCCAGTTCCCCCTCCCCCCATTTAATAGTTCGATAACTTAGTTGAAAACACTGCACTAATGTGTACGGAATTCCAGAGCCGCTCAACACTAATTATAATTGCAATTCAATGACATTTAGCAACGGTAATACAAAGTAACAATTAGAGTTCGAAATATCTGAGTTGCAAGATCCAAAACTTACTTAATTGGGGTCAATAGTTAACTTCCAAGATATTCTATTAAATACGAATTAGCCGATATTACTAAACCTATTTGCTAAAAGTGTAATTTATTGTCATCTAAAATTTAGTACTTTAGGAGCTCGATATCGAACAACGATCATTAGTTTATAATTATAATTCAAAACAAATAAGTCATAAACTAGAACAACGATTTATATACAGAGTGTTTCAAAAAACATGTGCCATCGCTCGTGGGGAGATTCCTGATGTAAAAATATTATTTATTTTTTATATCAACATAAATCCGATTCTGCTTTATTTCGTAGCTACAAAATCTTCATTTTGATTCGATTTATTATAATTTTCTTGTAAGTGCTTTTAGCGATTCGAATGAAATTTTGAGGGTAAAAGATACTATAAGTGTGATACATTCTAATGCTTAAAAGTAATGCCATTTAATACCGATTAAAAAATGTCTCTTGATAGTTTGTCTATTTAGGTCTTCTTAATGAAATAAATGCAATTATATTAATTTGCCTTATTCCAAGTGTATTAGCATATCCTTTAAAATTTTCTAATGTCATTAACTGGCTAAAGTATTAAATATGTAAGTACTCATTGATTGCTTATCAAAAAATATGAAATAAATTTCCTATAAACACGGGTGCGGAAATGTATAGTTTTAAAGTTGTTGAAACAGAATGTTAAAACTTTTAGAAAATAGGCCTTTTGTAATTATCTTAAATACCATAATTTTATTACTGCAGGTAGCACTAAACATCAGTCATATCATATACGTTTTAATAAAATTTAATAATAAATTAAACGAAATAAATAAAATTTATTAATTTTATTTTAATTTTATTACTTGTGATTGTGATTAATAAAATTACGTTTATCTCATGAAGGACATCGAAATTGGCAAAATTCAAGATACAACTGTTAATCGGCATTAAACGGCCTTTTAAAATTTCGCTAATAAGAGAAAAAAAAATCAGCGACGCACATGATTTTTTTTAGAGAAATATTCCATACATAATAAATATGTACCAATTATAATAACTTTTACACCCTCAAAATTTCATTAGTATCACTAAAAGCACTTGGAGAAGAAAATTATAATAAATAAACAAAAAATTAATACTAACCTCCTGTAGCTACGAAATAGAGCAGAATCGGACCTAG